TATATATAATACATAATTTAAAACTGAACCACAGTTGTTGTAATAATAGTGAATATTTTCTTTATTTGGACTGAACAGGATAAAACTTTATTAGTGCCGAACAACAACAAAAGCTGTGAATGTTAATCATTACAGACACGATGAGCTTTATTTTCAAAACCGAGTTCACCAATAAAGCGGCCCGCTGCGTTAAAGATAAATGATCGAGATTAAACGTCAGGCAAATCGAAACCAGACTGAACAGAGTCAAGGGTTGTGATTTAATACAGTAAGCTGAACTTGAAGATGAAACTGAATACAGTGATGGGTTTATGCCGCTGGTGTGTTCAGACGTTCCTCACAGGTTCTTGAGCGTGTCTTGACCCTCGGGTTTCTCCAGTCACTCAAGAGGCCAGCTGGCTTTAACACTGGGACGGTCCTTCAGCATCTGGTAGTACTCCATCAGTCTGGGACAACGCTCCGGAGGACAGCTGAAACCAGATCAAACATTAAACCAGCCTCATCTGAACCTTCACCTGACAGCATCAATCATTAACCCTCGCCGTGCATTCAACATCTGAGACTGTTTTCACATTCAAAGATTCCTAACTTACAAAATAAACAGGCATAACTTCATATTTTTCAACTAAGCCCATAACATATTAGCAACTTCTTATGAATGAGTGAATGTGAAAATATAAAAAGTTTTGAGTGTGTGTATATACTGTGTGTGTATATATATATGTGTGTGTGTGTGTGTGTGTGACCCTGGAGCACAAAACCAGTCATAAGGGTCAATTTTTCAAAATTGAGATGTATACATCATCTGAAAGCTGAATAAACAAGCTTTCCATTGATGTATGGTTTGTTAGGATAGGACAATATTTGAAAATCTGGAATCTTAGGGTGGAAAAAAATCTAAATATTGAGTAAATCATCTTTAAAGTTTTCCAAATTGAGTTATTAGCAATGCATATTGCTAATCAAAAATTAAGTTTTGATATATTTATGGCAAGAAACTTACAAAATATCTTCAAGGAACATGATCTTTACATAATATCCTAATGATTTTTGGCGTAAAAGAGAAATGGATAATTTTGACCCATACAATGTATTGTTGGCTATTGCTACAAATATCCCCCAGCGACTCAACACTGCTTCTGTGCTGCAGGGACACATATATACAAAATTTTGTCCAAAAGTGTGTGAGATATGGGGAAAGGCTAAGTATATTTTACAGACACTAATGTAACTTCATAGATAATTTTACAGAAGGTATTTTTGACATCTAATGGTGTTCCATACAAACCCGGGTCAAAAATGACCCGAACATGAAATTTTTATATATATATA